CCATAATATTTATTATGTTCGCGCTATTTATCATCATCGGATCTTTAGTTAACGATTCATCAAAAATATCTCGTGCATCACCACAACCCAAACCAGCCAATGATAGCAAAACATGTAGTTCCAAAGACTACAAACAAGCAGAATACAAATATTACCTTCCTTATGTCGTCAGTTATGTTGTAATAGGAGTTGGTGCAATTTTCTGGTACTATTTATATGAGTTAGCTTGTCGTATCGTAATGAGGCCGCCACAGAATAATGAGATACCATTAGAAGCCACCATGACTAGTAGTAGTTTAAAAGAAAATTTATAATTTCTGTATATTAATTTTCTTTTATTTTTTTATGACGCCATTTTCAATATCGATATTAATACTCCATTATAATAATAATCATAGAAGTTTTTGTATTACATGTACAATCCTAATAAATAAATAACGTTATCGTTATCGTTATTAGTCAAAAATGAAAATGCACATAATTAATTTAAAAACATTTCCTAAAATCAAAAGTATCATCGCCATCCCACGTTTCTAAACCATATACGGCGCCTTATATAATGTACAAATGTCTTGTCTCGACTGTCGTTACCTTAATGTTAATACCGATAGTCGCAAGAATTGTAAATTCTGAATTAAATTGTGATTACACTTAATGCTGTCTTATAAAGAATATTCTTATGACCATTTGAATTTGAATATGACTTGGATGTATTATAATTCGCTGTAAAATTTTTTATTGGTGTTGGTGTGTTGATGCATTCCTCATTTGAAATTTTGTTATTGTTAAATGATTCATTAGATATAACGTCTACAAAATTTTGTACAAGTACTACAGGAACTGATTAGGTATAGCAAGTGCTAACCAGCTCCTGTAAATGTTGATGAAGCGTGAAATAGCGAAAGAGGATGTTCCGGCGCCATTGACATCTCTGTTAAGTTCGGAATGGCATTTTAGGCAACAAGATACCTTTGATCCACCCGATGTTACTGGCCCGAACTAACCATAGCTTAGTAGATCTCGGTCTTTTGCGAGGATTTCTGTTGTCATGTTTGTTGGTCATTTCCAAATGCCCTGCACATGTCTGAAAGCATGGATTTATTGATTTGTATGCTTGACGAGGAAACGTTTGTTTGTTATATCGTTGTAATTTTGTATTTTTGATGAAAAAGGAGAAGCATTTGTTGGTTTTATGGTTGCAAAAAATGTATTAATCAGAGAATAATACCTTTTGCAGTTTAATATATCGATATTCAATTAAATAATATCGATATTAACTTATTACTGTAATGAGAATCCTATCGCTATGCTTTCACAGATTTTCGTTCATCTTAACGATACGTAAATAAAAAATAGTCCAATTAAAAACAAAAAAATAAACGTCAAATTTATTTGAGTCGGTATTTTTCATGTTAGTATGAACTAGTTTAAGAATCGCTTCTCCAAATAATGAATTCGCTGCCCTGTTTGTTAAATTTGTAAGGCATAAACGTGACAATTTAACATTTTGAATTTGATTGGTAGAATCATCAAACCAAAAGGTTTAACTCAGGTATCCAGTATATAAAGCTACGTCCTTGAGCAATTCAAGGTTTTGCAAAATTTCTGTATCATTATCAGACGTCATAATCTTATTAGAGAAAAAAATTAGTTAATTAGAGATTAATTTAAGAAACAATCAATAATTAAATCAATAATACATTCATAGTAAGTCCAATCGGCCATATATATCTGAGTCCAGTATGAAGGCTTCCTAAACCACTTGCAAAACTCCCTTAGAACAATACGGATTCCACTTACTCCAAACTAAGGAACGTGTAGATTTGTAGATTGCATTGTCAGCCTCGACGAAGTTTAGATACGGTAAAATTAATAAATTCGGCGTGTTTGTGTCATCCATAAGATTATAGGACCCGTATCCATTAACTTCATACGCAAATACATCCCCTAATTCTTTATGGTTAATAGTTCCATATTTGAAAATTGCATCTCATATTTCATCTGCCAAATTTTTTGCATACCGAGCATAATGATAATGTGCTAATCCTGAATTTAAACTATTGAAAATTTTCTGAAAATGTTGTAATTCAACTGAAATCATTGTATTTGTTGGTATGACGAAAGGATACGCAGAAGCATCATCAGAAGGGCGAAATTGTTATTTCACGAGCCCTAAACGTAAAGTAGTAATTCGATTTATTAAAGATTCTTTATATTCTTTTTAAATATTAATGGCCGATGCTAGAAAATGACACGCACCAGTTCTTGTCACAATGACTCCTAAATAAAGGATAATAAATATTTTCTATATACTACACAAGAATAGCAAGTATACCTCTGTCGTTCAATAGTAAAGTTTCGCTGCTATTTCTAGTTGGTCTTGTAAAAATGTAATATTCATGTCCAAATTCCTCCATAGTACCACGCACTTGTTCATAAAATACCTCTAAAGCATGCAGAGTTGCATTGACCCAATGCTCGTTATCAACAAAAGATGCATCTTTGGTATGCTTCCAATCATGATATGTTAATTTTAAAAAGGAAGTATCGCTGACCATTCTTGCTGCCAAACGTCAGAAGATGGCTCTGGGTAACTTTTGTCGTCTTATCTCCAAAGATTGAAGGGACGATGGATTCCAGATTCGACGGGCGACAAAAAGGAGTTTGAGTTAACATTAATACACTCATAAAGAAATTACATCGATAACAAATAATATACTTCATGTTTCCAGGAACAATAAACGTTCTCGAATATCCTTTAGAATTACCATGTCATAATACGGCTTTGTCTTTGAAAATTTAAGTTAAATTTAATATAAAATCAAGTAATTAAAATTTTTCCATATCGATATACAACAATTTTGAAATAACACCGCCAGGTCTTTGTCTTTCATTTTCTTAACAATATTATCAAGAGCACCATCGACAGCATGACTCCTAAATTTTCTACGAAAGAACCATGGACGTTTATAAATTATTTTCCAGAAGTAACGATAGTTTCTGTATCGTTTGTATCGTTATATGTGTCATAAGTTGGAATAGAATCTGTGTTGATTCGGAATCAACCTAGGTTGATTTGGAATTAGATATCAAATTAAGGATTGTAAACTACCCTAACTCTAATCCTAACCCAACCCTAACCCTAATATTAACCAATTATGAATTAATCTAGGTTGATTCCGAATCAACATAGCATTTTATTCCAACTTCTGGATCGGCATTTTGTTATCATCGTCATTAACGTTAACGTTACGTAGTGAAATCATTCTACATATGTACACGCAGGTCACATGTCCAAGAGGGGATACCATACGTATTTCGCTTTAAAAGAAGTGAGTTTTTAAAACTCGATGTAATGGCGGAAGTAAGTTTTTGTCTCAGTATATACACTTTTTGCATTGAAAAATAAACTTGTTACAAGTTTTTTCAAAATTATTAACTTCTTACCATTTTATCAAGTGAAAAAGAATGTGATTTTATAAAGACGGTTGTATCGTTAAATCCAAATATTTTCGAAATCATCCGATTAAAAATGAATTCTAAAATGTTCAAGTATAAAATCTTATTTTACTAATCAAGTAACTAAACAAACTAAACGACACGTTGAACATGAAAACAAGTTTAAACCTCAATGAAAAGGAGAATGGAATTACATACATGAAACCTATCAGAATGAAGCATATAGATTGCAGAAACAACAAGGACAATTATTCAAGAAAATATTTAATGGTGCACAATTAAAAATACTTCATGAGCACATTACATAAATACATAAAATTGTGACTCTTTATAATTATCTATTTTTCCAATATTCCATATTAGGCTATACATGTGTAAAATGTGATAATTTCCAAGAAAGAATATCTTTGATTAGTTAAGTGAATAAACATTTGATTTGGAATTTCTTAAGACAATCAGATAATATTAAATAAAAAATCTAACATGAGAAGTACTTTGTCTAAATTTAATTCAAGGCTAAACATAAACTTTATGATCTAAGTCTCTAACATGCTTTAATTCGAACAAAAGTGTATATTTCATAATAATCAACTTATTTCTGTAATATCTATCAATACGGTGCATAAAATCTAAAGTCATCAAATATTTGTATTTTATATTAAGAAGTAAATACAAAATTTATTCCATGAATATGATAAAATAGGCCTTTTTTAGACACATTAAATTTCTTAGTAAAGAAGTTTACATTTATAAAATACAAATGTTTGATAACTTTAGAATTTATGCATCATAACTATTTGATTTTTCTATAATTATAAAAGTCACAGATCTAGCATTAAAATATAAAATCTAAGACTAACTGGACAATATATAGTTACAGAGAATTATCAAATTAGTTTATCTGAAACTAAATACTTTGAAATTAAAATAATAAATTACTTTGTTTCAAAAGAGAGTTCAACTTTTTCTTGCTTTAGCAACTAATTTTGTTGTTATTTTACTAGTGATATTTTTTGGTTTGATGGTTTAAATATGGTTTAGATGAAATTGTTAATTTTATTTAAAAGTTATTATAATTTTGAATAAGCAATTTAATTTAAAATATTATAAACTGTAAGGTTAATTAATAGTTCTTAATAAAATTATACAAAATTTAGTAAATTTCTCAAATTGTATGGTTTAAACTGATGATTCAAACCAGTGGTTTAAGTAAAATTACTAATTTTCTATTAAAATAATTATATTTTTTATTATAAGTAACTAATTTTTAAATTTTACACTAATTAATTTTGATTAAGAGATCAAAAAGAAACAATTAAGTCAATTATTAGTTGATAACCTCCCTATATTTTACCAATCAAAAAATCTTAATTATAAATTTTAATGACATTCAAACTAAAAGTTGAAAGAGAACAAAAATATAGTAATAAAATTAGATTCGCAATTTTATGAGCGAATAAAATATTAGTTTTGCTCGTGAAGCGTATTGTAATAATGCTGAAACTTTCTTATAGAATGATATAAATCATTTAATTTATTATTTACACAAGTAATTAGATGTTTATCGCTATATTTTTATATTCTTTAAGTGTCTTTTATAGCTGTGATGAAGCTTAAGAAGAGATGATTATTTACATTTTTTTACGTCAAAAGCAAGCACATAAATGCTACTATAGTATCAGTGTTGTTACTGGAAGCTCACTGGAAAGTCACTGGGAAGTCACTGAGTGTGAAATTAATATTGACTGAAACACCACTGGAAGATTCCAGTCATCAAAAAATCTATTAAAAGTATAAACTAATTATCAATATGTTATCCTTATACTTGTGCATAAACTCTAAATTCATCAAACATTTTCATTTTATAAAATGGATAAACTTCTTTACTAAGAAGTAAATACAAAATTTAATCCATGAATATGCTCAGAAAAGGTCTACTCTATCATATTCACGGATTAAATTTTGTATTCACATCTTAGTAAAGAAGTTTATACATTTTATAAAATATAAACGTTTGATGACTTTCGATTTTATGCACCATATATTATATAAATTTAAGCTAATTTCAATGAATTTTTAATTTTGACTCACTGGAATGCTCCAGTAGCAACACTGGACTATAGTAATAATGGATGGTATAAAATGTACTCTGAATATCAAAAACAAATATTCAACGTAATTAACTCTATGATTGAAGAAAAAGAAGGTTAACCGTGGGTGGTAAAATTTATTTCGGTAGAGAAGTAAGTACGAATTATTCTCATAAACATAACTACCTTACTTAAAAATCTCTTAATTACAATTTATGTTTTTATATAAAATTTTAAAAATAAAAACGTTAATGTACGAAATTACTATGTTGCATGGGGATGTTTATGGTCTAATAAAATCAAGTTTATTTATAAATGCTCATTTCTCTTGATATCAACTTGCGATAGTTTCAATATTGCTTGACATAGTTACGTTTAACATAAAAACATAAATACTATATTTTTTTTTCTCGAGACATGCAAATCAAAAATTTCGATACGTTATGTAAAATTAAAAAAAAAAGAAAGGTTATCAATGTTGTACATCTAATGTAATACGTATAACAGTGAATCTCGTTATTAACGTTAACATAACATACGTTAATAGAAGAAGGAAATATCGATATGTATACCGATACACGAACTGTATCTAGTTTAGCAAGATATCCAGCCAGTTAAGGTATCGATATTACGTTATTACATACCGATATTGTATACAGAAAATTCCTAGATAAATTTGGCTTACGGTATACCGATACGTAATGATTTGCAGTACATGTACAATTAAGAGAATACGTACAGTGTTGGCAATTAGAACAATTGGAATTATAAAAACTGCAATTCCAGAACAAAAATCAACTGGAGTTATAAGACTTCAATACAGTTTGCGCACTTTTAATCGTTATTTATTTGCTAGCGCCATATTGCACATTTACAACACCGGGGATAAATATTACCATATTTCAATGAAAGATTAATTTGTTAGAATATTTAAGACGAAAAAGATAAAAGGGTTCCCCCCCTCTACAGTCACACCAGTTTGTATCCATAGACCTCACAATTCACAAGTTTATCGTTGTATCTTATGTGTTAATGTTTTATAAAGTAATTGTGTTACCGTATTGCAAAATGAAAGCAAAGTAATCAATTTTAACTGGCATACATGCCCCTATAAAAATGCAAAGACAATTAATAAACTGAAAACTTTGAAAATTGTAAATGAACTAATTTAAGACTGGAATTTTACGAAAATTTGTTGTCGTTAAATACATAAAAACATGATTACCACAAGATTTCTTTATAAAGGTTCATACAAACAAACACAGTCAAACCCTCTACCAGTCACAGGCATATTATTGTGTCTGACGTGTTAAAGTTAATGTTTTATAGCGTAATCTGTGTTACTGTTTGCAAAACGAAAGCAAAGTAACCATTTTAAAGGGCATACATGCATGTAAAATGAAAACGCAATTAATAAACTGTCGATTTTTGAAAATTGAAAAATTATTTTCGCTCGATATTAAGACTTGAATTTTACGAAATTCATTTATCGTATTTATCGTTAAATACATAAAAATATGAAATTCGGATCAACATTTATTATCACTATGGTTCTCATTTGCCATGGCAGACTATCTCTATCAGCCAATTCTTCGGTGTAAATATTGTGTTTGTTTTGTTGAATTAATAAATTAAATAATTGAGATTTATGTATTTTAAAAGCTTTTCACCTGCAGGAACCCAAGCATCTAATGCTATAGCATCACAAAATATTTTGATACAAACAACATCTCCTTCGACAACGATCGCATTAACAAGAACGTCGCCTTCGACACAAACAACAACATCCTCTTTGACAACAGGAACGTCGCCTATAACATCAACATCAATATCTCCTTTGACACAAGTAACAGTAACAACAGCAACATCTCCTTTGATATCACAAGGAACGCCAACAGCAACATCTCCTTTGATACAACAAGGAACATCAACAGCAACATCAACAGCAGCATCTCCTTTGATACCACAAGGAACATCGACAACAACATCTCCTTTGACACCACAAGGAACATCAACAGCAATATCTCCTTTGATACAACAAGGAACAACAACAGCAACAGCAACGTCAACAGCAGCATCTCCTTTGATACCACAAGGAACATCGACAACAACATCTCCTTTGATACCACAAGGAACATCAACAGCAATATCTCCTTTGATACCACAAGGAACATCGACAGCAATATCTCCTTTGATATCACAAGGAACGTCAACAGCAACATCTCCTTTGCTACCACAAGGAACAGCAACAGCAACATCTCCTTTGATACCACAACCAACGACAGCAATGGCTAGTTTAACGGGAACGTCAACATTGAACAACAATCAACAGGCATCAACTTTAACACAGTAATTATGCAATTCTTTACCTAATTTAATCGATATTATTTTTTCTCGATACGTATTAATAATTATCTAATACTTGATAGTTCACTGGGATCAGCATTAATAGAGACAGAGTCGTAAGTTTTTTATGTAGTTTTATTATATCGATATATTAATGCAATACAATTATTTAAAATCAATTTCCTTTAATTTTAAACAGCAAACCTTCACTTACGCTTATTGCCGTTACTACTATGAATTCAAAACCGCAGGGAACTTCTTCGCTTCGAATTACAAAATTAACACAAAATCATTACTACGATCTAGAAAGCACTTCAATATCTATAATCTTTGTAGTTTGGAATCCTGACAGTGGAATGAATAATCAAGACTCAGCTACTATTACTACTACCAGGTCTTCGCATCCCACATCATTGAGTGATGCAAACAGATCTGGCTTTAAGTTATCGTTATGCAGTAGTATGGTGCTAGAAATGTGGATTTTGTCATTAATTTTGATTATACATGTATGAATAACTTAAATTTTGTAAATGAAATATATATAAATAATGTGCTTAAAAAATTTATTTTATATAGTTTATAATAAAATTTATTTAAAAAATAAGTGATTTTAAAAATTGTAATAAAATGAAATATCATTTTTGTATTATAAAGAACCATTCTATTTAAAGAAATTATTAGTGCTTTGCAAATAATGAAATAAATTGAAATATCAAGCTATTAAGGAAGTAATAGATTATTATGTGATTATCAGGAGGGAGGGGGTTTCAAAATCTCATCTTTCATGTGATCAAAAATAATTAGCCAATTAAATATAATAAAAATCTCACCTAAAAAAAGAGAGATTAACTTTATAATAACTCAATCTTATGTAATATTTGTCACTCCTTTTATAATAAATTAATAAAACTACTACTTGAAACTTTTTGATATAATTTTCTTGTTGCAGATACATAAAACAAAAAATTCATTAATTATAATAACATATTTTATAATTAATATTTAAAATATTGATTATATTTATTATTTCTTTATATAAGTTATAAATATTAAATATTTAAATTAATTAAATATATTTATTTTGTATATATTAAATTAAAAATTTTTTGATATGATAATATTATTAAACAATTTTTTTTAAGACAAATTCTAATTTGAATTACTAATTAAAATAATTTATAATGCATAATATCTAAAATTATCAAATATTTATATTTTATAAAATTCAATTATAGTAATCTTCCAGAATATTGTGAATATTTTTTAAAATACAATAATGCAAAAACCAATAAAAAAGCAAGATTATTTTAAATTATTAAAACATATTGTACATTATATTAAAATTTCAAGTAATTTTAATAACTACAGTTAAATTTCTTTATAGTCACATCCATTTATAGTCACACCTCTCTATAATTACTCTATTTTGCTTTTCTATTTATATATAAACATAGTAAAAAAACTTCTCATAGTCACATTCTCTCTATAGTTAAGGATGCTTGCCTAAATCCTTTCAGAAAAATATCGTCATAACTTTAACGGGTTACACACTAATTGTTAATTAGAATTTTGACATAATTTCAGTTATGACGTGTTTCAAAATTCGTCAGAATTTCGACGGGTTATTTACTAATAGTTTATTATAATTTCGACAAAATTTAGATAGTCACTAAGAGATTTCGGCAAGCAACCTTATCTATAGTTATCAAATTTTGCTTTTTTAAGAGTGATAACTATAAAGAGATTTAACTGTAATTCAATATATATATATAAAATAAAATTTAGTATCAAACTGAAATTTATATGACAAACTATTATTTAACAAAGATATAAATAACTTCATATTCAGTAAATCAAATTAAATAATATTTTATCAGCAAATTCTTCAAGTTAAAATGCATCTAATAATATTAAAATCATTCAATTTGAATTACTAAATACAAAATATTATATTTTAAAAATAACATACAAAATCAAAATAAATTTTTTTGAAAAAAATAGTTTTTTGTGAATATTATTATATAATAAACTTTGATCAAATATTTTACTAAATTATTTATACTTAATATTATTGAATTATAAATATCTTATATTTTATTAAAAGAATCTAATTATGTGAAATGAGCAAATAAATAAGTAAACAAATAAATAAATTAGTAAATAAACAAGTAAATAAGTGAATGAATAAGCAAATATTAAACTAATAGAATTTAAGTAAATTAGTGAATATGAATTCATATAACTAATAAAATATAGTTTGAATATATATAAAAGTAATATATATTGTAGTTATTAGAATTAGATTAAAACAAGTCTTTAATAATAATATTCTTAATTATCACTTTATAACTAGTTATTACATATTTTTAATTATTTATATGAGCAAAGTTTGCACTTTATATAAAGTAGATAATCAAGCACAAACTTCTTTCTATATATTCTTTGACAAAATATTTTTGTTTCTTGTATAAATACTTCAGCATCTTTGTTATAAATATTATATAATTTTTGAATTAATATTATAATAACTTAAATATGTTTGTCAGAAATATTATAAAAATTATTATTTTAATACTAAATTATTTGAATATATTTATAATAAAATCTATTGAATATTATATTGAATAAAAAAATTATTATACTTTATAAATCTATCTTTGAGATTATATTAATAATAATATATTATTCATAAACTTATTTTTAATTTTGCATTATTAATAATATATTATTCATATTTGATTTCATATTGTTAATAATATAAATATTATAATTTCTATAACTTTAACTTTGAAATTTTGAGAACTTTTTCTAGCAGTTCAAATTATTGTATTAAAGAATATAACTGTTATTACTGTAGTAACATAAATTTCTATAATTTGATAATCTTTCATTGATTATGCGAAATTCTCTTTTTCTTAATTTTTATAACTTATCACCTGATTAATATTATTTTTATCCATCGTATAATTATCTCACTTTTATTATCACCCTAAATCTTATATTTATTATCTCTTTTTTATTTCTATATACTTTTATTATCCTAAATTTGAGATTTACAATTTCAATCACAAATATCCTATATTAATATTAACGTTTCACATATATAACTATATTTAGTGATACTGTATATATTAATTAGTTAATACATTTATACATTTATAGATCTCTTCTTTTATATTTCATTTCTTCTTTTATATTTATATTACACGAAAATCTTGATTTCAAAATCTTAATCTGAAAATCTTAATCTGAGATTACAAAATATGTATATTAAATAGTATTAATT